TGTTCTAAGCAGATAAATCAAACTAGCTTCAAGATACTTTGTCTTAAGACATACTTTGCTGCTGCTCTGTGCTAGAAAACTGTTAGTGGCTAAGGAGCCATAACAACAGCAGCATTAGAAAAATAACGCACTGATGTGCGCATGTTGGAAAGTCAGTTTCAAAAAGCCAAGGCATTTTGATGCATCCTGTACATCACAGTGCAGGAAAGATACGAGTTGGCACCAGAGTTTGTAACAAGATAATGTCCTGAAGTGTAGCCACAGAATGTAATCACAAAGCGGGGCTTCATAGGATACCAAAATGTACACAGATCAGCCTATTTCCATAGAAATTTTCCTTTTTTTGTTGTTTGGCTGTTTACTTTTTTTGGAGTAACACAAAGCACACCAGGGCCTATGTTGCAACTACAATATATAGAAGAAACTCGCTAGTGAAATGCAACAACGCTCTGAGTTCTCAAGTTCCTAGGAAATTCTATGAACAGTCGCTTACAAAGGATGCCATGGGTGTGTATCATTTGGCAGGAAGAATTGTTCAATAACATAAGGCATTCACAGACAAAAAGAGCTAATAATTTGACATGTAATCTTTCTAAGAAAAAAAAAATCCCTCCTGACTACAGCAAATCTCAGCAGGATTTCTTTGCTGTTTTCTTACATATTATTTGCTGTTACTCCAGAAATATAAGCTATTGCAAGTAAGGACAGTTATAATAAACTCTTAGAGACAGAAGGGATGTCAGGCAAAACAGATTTGTTTTAAGTTATAATCTGTCAACAAACTTTTTTGTTGCTTTACTTGGAAAAAAATGGATCTTCAAAACACGAGAAAAAACAGTACAAAAAAGCTGTACGATGAATAGAAGGCTTTCTTCTTTTAGCATTAAGCAAGCATTAACGTGAGGTAGTCAATATGTACAATGTAATGCAAACGACATATGTGGTAAAATCTCACCAGAAATGTAGTTTTTCATAATATACTCACACTTTGCTATTGCCTTAACTATTTGAAAAGGTAACAAGATGTTCAATACTTAATATACATGTTCAGAAAACTGTAGGAGTACACCCTCGATTCAGGAGATCCAGATTTTTTCATCAAAGTTTTCTGATTGACAGAATTTTTTCTTTTACATGAATCAATGCTGCTTCTGCACTTGCATAAAATACATTTATCTATTCAAAAGCTTGTAACTTGCAGAAAGAAAGAGCGACACAATACCTCTTGTAACTGGAGTTCTTTCTTCTTAGCTGATAGATTTAAATGTTTTTCTAACAAACTGTAGTTCTTCTCTGTCTCTTTATCAAACTTCTTCTTTTCCTCCTATGTAAAAAACAAAGTAACATTCATTTATATAACATACATAAAAAGGTAAGAACAACTCCTTATTTCTTCCTGCTTTAAAAACTGCCCTTAAGCCAGAAATCAAGATAACAGAAACAATTAAAATTCTAAAAACCAAGGAAAAGTACCTTTGCAGACCATTTCTTAAACAAATTTAAAGGCCACCTTAGTTGAACTATACAGACAAAGGGCTCTTTTTCTTTTCTTTTTTTTTTCTTTTTTACCCCCCCCCTTCATCTTTCGCTTTTAATAAGTTATAATACATGATAGAACTTTTTATTTCCTGGGCAATTGGGTTTTGAAGACAGCATTTTATTTATAATAAATAAATAAATAAATAAATGGAAGGGGGCATTCCACGATACTGTTTACTAATCCACAATCCTTACTAATTGAGAAACAGGGCAACATGCCAACATGCATATGATGTTAGCATGACTAAAAATAAGTATCAGTATATGGGCAAATAAGAAAAAAGAGGAGGAAAAAAAAACAACATAATTGTGTTCATATTTGCAAAATTTTCACTGATCTGGTCAATGTTTGCATGATCCAGAAAAGCAGACCCCTGTTTATTTCCAAACAGAAAAAAGCAAAACCCTATTGATCTAATCCCTAATGGAATGTGTAATATCTTTAACCAAGGAGGCACACACTCACAAACACTTTCTCTCTCTTTCTCTCTCTCTTTTTTTTTTTTTTTTTTTAATCCCACTTCAGACTACTTCATCAACAGATCAACCAGGGAAGGAATATACAGTAAAATCTGAGGCAATAGATTCATATTTTGTTCTGTAATAGCAAAAGGTAAATTTTTCCCTGAGCAAATATCACACAGTGTTCCAGCTGCATTTTGCTACTAGATGCCGTAAGTTATGCATCGATAAGAACGATGCAGAATTACATTTCTCATGACAGTACTTCGACTGTATTGAATATCTAAAGTTAAATATTTTTAGAGAATTTATATATATATATATATATATGCACAAGAATTAAGCAACACTTATATTTAAAACCACTGTGAATTCTGTTCAAAAAAAGCCAAAATCACAAAATAGAAACCATGACTTGGAAAAAAAAAATATATATACAGTTATAAGATCTTGCACATTGACTAACAATATAATACTCAAAGAGCAAAACTAGTTCCAATTCTTCTGAAGGCACCCAAAAAAAAAAAGATTTGAATTGATTATACAGTCAGTCTACACAAATTGTGACTTAGCATTTATATAGAGAACATTCTTCGCAAACAAGCATTTTACGGTTTAGTTTGCCAAAGATTTAGACCTTGAAGATTCATGACTTCAGTAAATTGCTGCTACTTCTATGGTGGTTTAGATCAGTTATTTAACACCACACAGAAACAACACTCTGAATTGAAATGAAAAGGGAGATATACGCGGCGAGAGGGCAGCTTCTCACAGGCAAAAAAGCAGGGATAGAATTCTGACTGCTAGAAATGAGTGAAGCAGAATAGCCAGGTAACACAAAACATTAGGAGTTCTTACTCAAAAACAGCAATGCATCTTAACATCAAAAACGCTGTGCTGAAACAATCCATTTATTACAACTTTTATATAATGGGCTAAAGTTAGAATTTTCCTTAGAAGACTCCTGAAATCATAGACTATTTTTTTTATGTTGTTTAAGATCTCTGATACATTTCTCGAAAGCCCATGAAATTAAGCAAAGACCATCATACTACTGCATCATAAAGATCTATGATCAATAGAGGATTCTCCATTCATGAACACAGAAATCATATTCTTATATTCTTTTTTATATACCCAGGCATATATATACGCATGTATTCATACATATGCATTCTAGTTTATGATGAAGCAAAAAAACGCATTTGCACTTTCAACACAGAACACAAAAGCTTTCCATTTTCAAGTGGTGTTGTAGCACCAAAAAAAAATTTATCTTCAAATCAACAGGATGAAAAAAAAGAAAACCAAATAAACTGCCAACTGAAGTTCACTCTATTGCAGAAACATTTACTTTTGTCCCGAGAGATCAAACTGCAAATGGACAAGCTGCATTTTGGAATGAAAAGTATAAAACACATGAAGAGGAGGAAGGAAACAGATATTTCAACTGCTTAGCTCCCTCATAACTTCTTATGATTCACTGAAATATTGTAGAAAGTGTTTTCTGTTTTAAAACCTACTTGGAAAATTCAGCTCTTATTTGTTCACGATACAGTCAAAATACTTAGCTCTCCTGTAATTGAAATGTTATCCTAGTTATCACTGCTAGTGATACATGCACAGCAGTTTAAAAATGTGTGAGTTTTTGGAACGGAAGATAGCATTAAACAGCTATCCTTAACTTTTTACAAACATTTAAATCTCTCCCTGGAAGGAAGGTATGACTGCAAAAATTTGGTGTGAATTTATGTCGCTATTGTATTTATCCAAAGAGAGTCTTTTTTTGATGAAGTTCACTTTTAGCTTTGGAAAACATATACAATATAGGGACAACTTTCACCCCAAAATTTATTTTGACTGAAATTCTACCTATCTTTAGTCTCTCCACTCCCTGTTTTCTTTTCTACTCAATCAATGCAATGAGTTATTTGCTAAAAAAAAAAAAAAAAAAGAAAGAAAGAAAGAAAAGAAAAGTTAAAAGCATATGGATAACCTCCTTTGGTAGTTAGTATTTGTCAACATCTGACTGTGCAACTGCAAGCAAGTACAAGGCAGAATAGAGTTACTCATTAGAAATAAGAGGCTGTAAGCAGTATTTCTCATACTCCAGACAGAAGAGATAAGGGAAAGATAAGAGATAAGGAAGAGGAAGGAGAAAAGGAAAGGACACATTCTTTTCTTCTTGAAACATACTTTCCATTTGTTTCTGAAGCAAGTTTCCAAAAGAAAAAAAGTATGAACACATGAAATAAAAACAACAGTATGTGGCTGCCAAATGGATTGCATTGCAATAATGACATATAAGTAGAGAAAATAAACTTTTCATAAAGACAAGCAAAGGACAAACCTTTACAGCTCCTAGCTGTTCTTTCCTAAATTTTTCCAAAGGTTTGATCAGAGTTTCAGTAACACTGAGCGCCTAAAGATTAAAAAAAAAAAAAAAAAAAAGCAAGGGTTAGATTTCTTCAGCCAGTTAGACAAGTCATTTTAGTGTCAGCAAAAAATGAAAAAACAAAGCTATAGAACAAAAACTAGAGAAGCATGCAAGGTACAAGCCCTAATACACACACAAATCACAGCTCTGAGTATTCAAGTACTTTTGAAATTTTTATCTTTTATTTTATTTCACCATCACGAAAATTAATCTGAAGCAAACACAGAAATTTCAAAAATTTGCAGGCTGCAGCCAAACTGTTTCATGTGTGCCAGGATTAAAAGTCAGGTCAAGAGTCTCCAAACTGAATATTTTGTGAAATATCACACTGTGAAAAAAATGCAAATAATAATTTTTGTTTCAAGAGGAAAAAAATAATGCAACAATACAGAAATATTGTAAACTGCTGCAGAAACTGTAGCAGAAAACAAATTTTTAATACACAGATATAGACGCCAAGCACTGAAACGCATATTTCCAAATATTTACTTCTTACTATGTTAAGAAAACCTTAAGTTAATCTAAGTTATAAAATTAACATGTACAAATTGAAGAAATGATATTTAGTTCACTAGGTAAGCTTTAATCAGTTGACAGAGCATCTATGAGTGCTCTTACTGGAATACTACCACAGGCTACTGAGGAGAAATAAATAAAAACAGTAAGCCATCATAACACTGCTAACCTTATTTATATCTGATCAAACAGGGTTTTCAGTTCTCAGGAAGTTGCATAGGAGCTAAAGCGGAGTTAGGTTTTGCTTGGGTGCAAGTGAGAATTAAAATTTAGAAGACATTTGAAATCTCAGTATTTTTTTTCCCCTCAAGTTTGAAACGCCTCATACAAAACATTGCACGCTTCAACCAGCTTTCTGGAATTCTTTGGAGAAGCTCGTATCATAAACGCCCGAGGGCTGCACCGCTCTGGCACAGGGCTGCATGGCCTCTCCCAGCCCCGGAGCCAGGCTGGGATTGCGGCAGGAGCCATCCTGCCAAGTCACAGGAATGGGAGTGAGCAGCTTGCAGCAGCGCAGGCAACACGCTAACACACACCTCCAGCTTGCAGCCCAGAGAGCTGGCCGCATCTGGGCTGCACTGATGCTGCTGCACAGTTGTCTTTAGAACAACCTGGAGAATGCTTGTTCTCGTGGCCCAAAGCTTCCCCCTGTGCCTTCATTTCCTGATTTTGTCAAAGCCTCTTGAAGCAACCTTGAACGCATTCCTGTCGCAGGGAAATGGCAAGCCTGACGCTTCTGTGTCTCAAAAGCTTACAGCTCTACTGAGCTAAGCAGGGCGCAGCAGAGCTCTGCATGAAGGTGGAGGAGAGGGGAGAGGACAGCAAGGCAACATCTGGTGCCATGGGCCAGATGCAGCTGAAGAGGTTGTCCCAAAACTCTGCACTTGCAGGACCCTTCCCCTGCAGAGAGCACACCCAGGAAGTCAAGTGCTGTGAAGAGGAGCTGGGAAACGTGACTATGGAAAGGATTTAGTCCACATGGCCCGCTGCACAGATATAGCCTGAGTACTTGAGCACTTACTAGGAGCCTCCAGGACAATTCTTAGCATACTTGGATCACTGTTATTTTGCCAACTCCCTAAACTCTCCTGGAAAGTCTAAGTGGTAGGACGAACATGCCACTGTGTGTTTATTAGCAGGGTAACCCCCCAAAACAGCTTCCTGCGACACAGGGACAGCACCTGTGGATTGGAAAAATCTCACTGTGCTGACTGCAAGGATTCTCACAAGTGAGAATGGAGAACCACTCTTGAACAGTCATTTCATACTGGAAAATTTGTGGACTGTTTCTGCCAGTCTCCTCAGTAGGGATATAGCACAGAGAAAGCAACAAGGTCTCTGCACAGTAAAGTTTAGAAGGGTGCTGATAGCCGAGGCCTGGAGAGGACTACGCCCAGACTGTAAGAGTCCATGTCGAGCCTTTCGAAAAGAAGGATTTCAGGGTAAGGTCACAGGCAATGAAGCTATACCGAGCATGAAGTCCAAGCCAGAGATAAAACAGAGGAACATGATGCAACAGAAGAAAAAAAAAAAAAAAAAAAAAGAAAAGGAAATACAGCCAGGAAAGACTGTGGTTTATAAACTAGAAGGGCTGGCTACATATCACCCAGCCTGCTATGCTCCTGTGTAGCATTAACCATGGGAACCACTACAGGAATTCGTTTGAAGAAGAAAATAATCTTTAAATCAAAAGGGGATGTTTTCTCAAAGACAGGCAACAAATAACAATTCCACTGTAGCCATTGGTATGATATGCCAGTAATTCATTCATTCTAAGAAAAACAAGCCTCCTCTCCTTCCCATAAAGTTCTGTTTCTCACTTTGCCTAACTTTCAACAAGCTTTCACAACATATGCCTCTTCAGAATGGCAGATTTTTTGCTTATCATACAGATATTTATCAGTTGTTGCCCCCCTTCACTTTCTCTGTGATAACCAACAGTGCACTTGGGTCTTTCTTGGTGAGTTTTGGAGCTCCTTGATCCATCTTACAAACTTCACTCAAGTCCTACATAGCAAAAGCAGGAGGAACATTTCCTCCCCACTGAAATAAATGATGAAAGCTACAAAAATATTACTTATTTACAGAATAAAAGCATTGTTTATGTTATTAGTTATTGTTTGCTTAATCAGTTAATAACTTGGGAACTCAAAGCAAAAGATATTTCTTTTATAAACTGTGGACAACAGGTTGGTAGACAAAAAAAAATCTTGGTATAGGACAATTAAGAAGAGTCTTTTGAAGATATTTGTCATTATTACTCATGCCTTCCTTAAAGAAGTAAGGCTATGTTAAACTGTAACATTTCCAAGAAAAGACACTTGAGGCATTTAAGTTAAATATTCATTAATACAAAATTACACATTCCTTCCTCTTTCAACTTCTCCTGACTCTTGAGTTAATTTTCATCTTCCTACTCCTCTAGTCCTGGCAGACCATGCTGACAGGAATGTCTACTTAAAGGGCACATACAAGAAAAATTGTGCTCTCTTTTCTTTATATCCCTGAGCTATCCGAACCTGTCTCAAAGGAATATATCCTCTACTTTAAACACTGGCAGGAGAACCACGGCATCAGTCATAAGTGAATCACTAGGAAGAGGTCATGTCTCAGGTACCTTAAACCATCTTTATAAATTTCAAAGTCTCAAGAAGGCTTTCAAAAATGTTTAACCCAATACACAAAAAAGCCTTAAAACTGCTTAGCCTTAGGAAGACTGTTCTACTTCCTAGATCTACAGAAAGGCCAAAGGATTAACTTAAAATTAAGTTAAGCCTGTATATAACAAAACTTCACCATCTCCACTATCATTTCAGATGATCGCTGTAACCACCACTTCCAACAACATCTAAATGAAGGCTTCCTGCTTTGGGCCAACCTCCTAATTCCAGGTGCCTTTACAAAACCCCAACTGTTCAGGCAAAGAGATTTCACAGAACGTTGGTGATAACGCTGACTTTTCCATCTCTGCATTTTTCAAAAGAAAAAAGTTTCAGATAAGGAGGGCAAACTGGCTTTTTCCATGAACAGTTCCCACAGGCACAGGCTTAATCCATTAGCAAGTACACTTACATTTACAGCTCTTGGCTACCTCAGCCAAGTGAAGCAGCTCCAGCAGGCAATTTACGAGTCAGCGCTAGTCCACAAGCCTGTTGCTTTTTCTCTTTTCAGAGACAGTGGGAGTACGGCTGTTTAGAGAAAAACTGCTTCTCCAAACACCTCCTCCTCCACTTGCAACCTGACAGGCAGCACAAGCACACAAGGTTCGTCATGCTTTCTCACCCTCCTGCAGCAGGAGGGGAAGAAATGCAGCATCAACCAGTTCCTGTCCTTTGGCAGACACAACTAGACTCTCTGGCAGGAGAAAGACTGCTTAGGTCGTGAAGAAATACTAACTCATAGGAGTCATCCCAGAACCTCAAATTGGCCTCTGTGCCTACAAAAGCTTGGTCAACCCAAAGTTAAGCGAAGTTTATTTTGCTAATTAGACAAACACAACAGTGGCCTCCCAACATTCATCCTAAAAAAAGTCCTTAAACCTCTACCTGTACTGGAAGAACTGGAAAGGCTACATGTTGCTCATCAATGAAACCTAGTGGTGAGATAAATATGCATACTGCCTCACTGCTCCATTCTGAAGCTAAACACCCTCCAATGCAAGGAAGCTCACTTAGGGGTAGCAGGAAGCCATAAAATGCACCTTGCTATGGACTGCACACTGTCGGGGGGCACTGGATTCCAAATTCTCATCACTAGAGTTGGAATGTAGACCATGAGTCAAATAGCAAGACAGTTTAAAGTTTCTCAGTGCGTTGCCTGGGAATATTTATTTGCAGACAGGCAGGACTAGCTCTCTCCCTTGACAAAGCAAAGGAGGCTTATGGTCAATGTGGCAGAGCCTGTGAGACAGAGTCAATGAAACTCTATCTGGGAAGGAAGCTCTGCCCTGCTCAGGGTAACGGAATGTGGAAAGGAGAATATAGCTAATAGATTCAATAACAAAGTAGATAAATTCTTTATTAGAAAGTTATTTTCTTTATTTATCAGCAGTTTACTTATCTGCAGATGCATTTTTGCTTATACAGGATATGGCTCTTTTATAATTTTTCGGTATTGCAACATTCAAACTAAAACAAAAGGTGATTCTGATACCCCTAAGACTTAAAGAGAAAAAAAAAAACTGCTATCCCTACCCTCCACAAAGCTTTGCTGCCTCATATCTTAATTTGTTAATGAAATTTCCTTGAAACTGCCTCCAACCTATGCCTGAAAACCTGTACTAGACAACTTTACAGACACAGTTCCACTAGTTTCCTTGTAGAGTCTATTCCTTCTTCTCCCATGGGAAGATGATTTCATCTTGCAGTCACAAGAAGATGTTCCCAGTTGGTTGCACATTCAACTCTCCTGCCACCATGCCCAGCAGAAATAACAGGCTGGCTCTCTAATCATCTTTCAGAACTAGTCTT